TGGTTTCTCACGTGATGTGGAGATTTAAAAGTCTTCTCACACAGGTCACATTTATAAGGTCTCTCCTCAGTGTGGCTAAACATGTGTAGTTTTAACTGTGCGACATTTATAAACAGTTTCCCACACTGATCACAGCAGGAAACATCATTTCCAGTGTGAATCCGTAGGTGATTATTTCGGTAGTGTTTGTCGCTGAAACTTTTTCCACAAAAGTTGCAGCTGTACGCCTTAATTCCAGAGTGGGTAATTAGATGCCTCTGTAAGTCGGGTTTTTGAGCAAACGCCTTACCACACAACTCACAGCTGTGTGCTTTAACTCCACTGTGCATGATACGGTGTGATTTTAAGCTTTGATAATGGGTAAAAGACTTTCCACACAATTTGCAGCTGTAAGGTTTAACTCCACTGTGGACGTGTTGGTGTGTTTTAAAGGTTTGAGCGTGGGTAAAAGACTTTCCACACAAGTGACAGTTGTACGCTTTAACTCCACTGTGGATGAGTTTGTGTGATTTTAAGCTTTCAGCCCGGGCAAAATCCTTCCCACACAAGTCACAGCTGTACGCTTTAACTCCACTGTGGATGAGTTGGTGTATTTTTAAGCCTCTAGCCCGGGCAAAATCCTTCCCACACAAGTCACAGCTGTAAGCTTTAACTCCACTGTGGATGACTTGGTGTTTTTTTAAGGTTCCAGCCTCGGTAAAAGACTTTCCACACAAGTCACAGCTGTAAGGTTTAACTCCACTGTGGATGAGTTGGTGTTTTTTTAAGAATCGAGCCAGGGTAAAAGACTTTCCACACAAGTCACAGCTGTAAGGTTTAACCCCACTGTGGAGGAGTTGGTGTGTTTTTAGGCTGTCACTCCGGGTAAAATCCTTCCCACACTCATCACAGCTGTAGGTTTTCTCTCTCTTTCTTCTGTGAGGTTTGTCGGCCTTCTGAGAGCGCTGACTTCTTGCTCCATGTTGGTCCTGCAGTGACAGAGATACAAACAGAGGCAGTGAGTGAAATGCAGTCGTCGACCAAACTGAAACTCCCTCCGTCAGTGGAAACAAACATGTCAACAAACACATTCTTGGTGTGTTACCACCACCTTTTGGTGACAGTATCACATTACAATGATGTGACACAATGAGAGGTGTAATGAAAATTACATTATTGAAGAAATATATAAGTGGAGAAAATCTTTTACTTCATAAAATATTTTGAGTTCAACTGTTGATATTGTTCTTTCAATGTGTGCTGATAAAATATGATCTTTGTACTTTTTTCGAACTTCTGTGGTTTTTGGTTGTGAATGTAGATTCTGTATATAGGAGCCCAGGATGCAAAAGACAAAGCTGCTGTTAATTGTGTTTTAAAAACCAACCAGCTGTGCACACAGTTTCAATAACAGTGTAACTGTGATGTTTTTCTCACCTTCTGTGTTGAAGTCATTGTTTCCTCTGTAGTGGCTGAGCTGAGTCCAAATGGCTGAAATTGTTCCTCTG